AAGGGAAAACTGAAACGACCACCTCTGGCTCATTAGCCGTCATCAGCCAGTCCTATCCAATCACAGGTGGTGTACCACTCGAGGCTCGAACCCGCGACCTTTTGATCAGAAGCCTAACACTCTAACCCAACCCTATTTCCTGTACTCCGCATTGTACGTCGACAGGCCGGTTCACGAAGGATACAAAAGCAGTAAACCTCTGCCGCCCCTTTCGGTATAATCCTGTTGGGGGCTATTTGTTGTGGTCGTTTGGCCCGGATACGAAGATGGTAGCCCCGATCCTGAATAAACCGCTATCCTTCGCATAACCATCAGATTGTTAGGCCCAATTTGCCTAATTAATACGTGGTTTACTTAGAAAATGTCATTATTCTTTTTAAGGTGCCTTTAGTAGGGTATATGTAAGCCCATCTCCTTTTTTCCCTACTCATATGCAAATCTTGTTTGCCACATAAGTTTTACCGGGTAAGTGTAATGTCTACTGCTTCACACCTCCCCCAAAATGTATGTCCGTTTCTCCTTGCGGTTAAATAGCGGACTAGGTGCTTCTCTCCCCTCATGACAGATAGCCATGTTCTAAATGTCAAGGAGGGTACCTCTACCCGTGTCCAAACTTTAGCCTCAATCCATGAAAGTTAAAGTAAAACCGTCTGTGCTGCCGAGGTGTCCATTCCCGTGTCCTCTTCTCCTTGCTGCATATCTCTCGAGACAAGATAACCATGTTTCCTACAAAGAGATCCTAACTGTGGTCTATTCTCCCTTAGGAGCCTTGATCGGCAGTCGGACGACGCTCTCCACTTCAGTGGATAATGACCAATTAGACGCCGAGCTGGTGTCTCGCGTCCTCAAACTGATGCGTCTTCTAGACATGCGTCTCATGGTTATAGCTTCATCGCCCTGTGGCCAAGATGTGGCAACGACTCTCTGCTCCATGTCTGCTGGGGCCTCGCGCCTTGAGCTGGCCATTATCAACTTTCTTGAACACTTTCGGCGAACCTACGTGGGCGAGAACATCAATCGGGTGT